CAGTCCTAAGAGGAAAATACATTGCAATCCAGGCCTATCTCAAGAAAGAAGAAAAATCCAAACACAAAACCTAACCTCACACCTAAAGGAACTAGAGACAGAGCAGCAAAGAAACGCCAAAGCTATTAGAAGAAGAGAAATAATAAAGATTAGAGCAGAAATAAACAATATAGGGGTGCCTGAGTGGCTCAGTCAGTTAAGTGTCCAAATCTTGGTTTCGGCTCAGGTCATGATCTCATGGCTTTGTGAGTTCGAGCCCTGTGTCGGGATCTATGTTGACAGTGTGGAGCTGCTTAGGCTTCTCTCTCTCCCTCTCTCTGCCTTTCCCTCACTTGCACTGTCTCTGTCTTTCTCAAAAATGAATACAAAAATTTTTAAAAATAAACAATATAGAAAGAATCTCCCCCCCCCAAAAAAAGTAGTAGAATAGATTAATGAATCTCAGAGCTCTTTTTTTGAAAAAATAAACAAAATTGATAACCCCCTAGCCAGACTTCTCAAAAAGAAAAGAGAGAGAAACCAAATAGATAAAATCCAGACTTCTCAAAAAGAAAAGAGAGAGAAACCAAATAGATAAAATCACGAATGAAAAAGGAGAGATCACAACCAACACCACAGAAATCCAATTATCAGAGAATACTATGAAAAATTATATGCCAACATACTGGATAACCTGGAAGAAACGGACAAATTTCTAGACACCCACACACTAACAAAACTCAAATGGGAAGAAATAGAAAAGTTGAACAGACCCATAACCAGCAGAGAAATTGAATCAGTTATCAAAAATCTCCCAACAAATAAGAGTCCAGAGACAGAAGGCTTCCCAGGGGAATTCTACTAGACATTTAAAGAAGAGTTAATACCTATCCTTCTCAAGCTGTTTGAAAAATAGAAACCGAAGGGAAGCTTCTGGACTCATTCTCTGCTGATTCTATGAATCTGCATTCTCTTGATTCCCAACCCAGACTGAGACCCCACTAAAATGGAGAATTACAAGCCAATATCCCTGATGAACATGGATGCAAAAATTCTCAATAAGATACTAGCAAGTCAAATTCAACAATATATTAAAAGAATTATTTACCATGATCAAGTGGGATTCATTCCTGGGCTCCAGGGCTAGTTCAATATTCACATATCAATCAATGTGATACATCACATTAATAGAAGAAAGGATAAGAACCATATGATCCTGTCAATAGATGCAGAAAAAGCATTTGACAAAATACAATATTGTTTCTTAATAAAAACCCTCAAGAAAGTCAGGATAGAAGGAACATATCTTAGTATCATAAAAGCCATATATGAAAAGCCCACAGCTAATATCATACTCAATGGGGGAAAACTAAGAGCTTTACCCCTGAGAACAGGAATACAACAGGGATGTCCACTGTCGCCACTGTTGTTTAACATAGGGTTGGAAGTCCTAGCATCAGCAATCAGACAACAGAATGAAATAAAAGGCATCCAAGTTGGCAAAGAAGAAGTCAAACTTTCACTTTTCGCAGATGACATGAGAGTCTACATGGAAACCCAAAAGATTCCACCAGAAAGCTGCTAGAAGTGATACATGAATTCAGCAAAGTTGCAGGATACGAAATCAATGTAGAGAAATTGTTTGCATTCCCATACACCAATAATGAAGCAACAGAAAGAGAAATCAAGAGATCGATCCCATTTACAATTGCACCAAGAACCATAAATACCTAGGAATAAACCTAACCAAAGATGTAGAAGATCTGATGCTGAAAACAATAGAAAACTTATGAAAGAAATTGAAAAAGACACAAAGAAATGGAAAAAACACTCCATGCTCGTGGATTGGAAGAACAAATATTATTAAAATGTCAATACTACCCAAGCAATATACACATTCAATGCAATCCCAATCAAAATTGCAACCACATTCTCCTCAAAGTTAGAACAAACAATCCTATAATTTGTATGGAACCACAATGACCCCCGTATAGCCAAAGTAATGTTGAAAAGAAGACCAAAGTGGGAGGCATCCCAATCCCGACTTTAGTCTTTACTACAAAGCTGTAATCATCAAGACAGTATGGTATTGGCACAAAAGCAGACACATAGACCAATGGTATAGAATAGAGAACCCAGAATCGGACCCACAAATGTATGGCCAACTAATCTTTGAAAAGCAGGAAAAAGTATCCAATGGAAAAAAGATAGTCTCTTTAGCAAATGGTGCTGGACAGCAACATGCAGAATGAAATTGAATCACTTTCTTATACCATACACAAAAAATAAACTCAAAATGGATGAAAGACCTAAATGTAGGACAGAAAGCCATCAAAACCTAGAGGAGAAAACAGGCAACAATTTCTTTGACCTCAGCCGCAGCAATTTCTTGCTCAACTAGTCTCCAAAGGCAAGGGAAATAAAAGCAAAAATGAACTATTGGGACCTCATCAAGATAAAAAGCTTCTGCACAATGAACGAAACAATCAACAAAACTAAAAGGCAACCAATGTAATGGGAGAAGATATTTGCAAATGACATATTTGATAGAGGGTTAGTATCCAAAATCTATAAAGAACTTACCAAACTCAATACCCAAAAAAACAAATAGTCCAGTGAAGAAATGGGCAGAAGACACGAATAGACAATTTTCCAAGGAAGACATCCAGATGGCCAACAGACACATGAAAAGATGCTCATCACCACTCATCATTAAGGAAATACAAATCAAAACCACATTGAGATACTACCCCACACTGGTCAGAGTGACTAAAATTAACAACTCAGGAAACAACAGATGTTGGCGAGGATGTGGAGAAACAGGAACCCTCTTGCACTGTTGGTGGGAATGCAAACTACGGCAGCCACTCTGGAAAATAGTGTGGAGGTTCTTCAAAAAATTAAAAATAAAACTACCCTATGACCCAGCAATAGCACTACAAAGAATTTATCCAAAGGATACAGGAATGCTGATCCATAGAGGCACTTGTATCCCAATGCTTATAGCAGTGCTTTCAACCATAGCCAAATGTCCGTCAGTTGACGAATGGATAGAGAAGATGTGGTTTATATATACAATGCAATACTACTTGGCAATGAAAAAGAATGAAATTCTGCCATTTGCAACAAAGTGGACGGAACTGGAGGGTATTACACTAAGTGAAATAAGTCAATCAGAGAAAGATATCATATGTTTTCACTCATATGTGGAATTTAAGAAACTTAACAGAAGACCATGGGGGAAGAGAAGGGGAAAAATAGTTTCAAACTGAGAGGGAAGCAAACCATAAGAGACTCTTAAATACAGAGAACAAACTGAGAGTTGATGAGGTGGGGGGGTGAAATGGGTGATGGGAATTGAGGAGGGCCCTTGTCAGGATGAGCACTGGGTGTTGTATGTAAGCGATGACCCACGGGAATCTACACTGAAACCAAGAGCACATTGTATACACTGCATGTCACCTATCTTGACAATAAATTATATTAAAAAATAACAGATAAAAGGGTAAATATAAAAGCTTAGGACAATATCTTATGAATAATCAAAGAATAGTTTTCTACATGAAACAGCAAGCAGCCACCTGAGGCAGCCACCTGAATCAAAGTACACATGGGCTTTAAGAAGAAAATTTACTACTCACTTCCAAAGAAATGCCTGTTGTTTTCCTTTGATTTTATGCACCAAATGTACAACCTGAGGTTTTTGAGTTTAAAACTACACACATATGCATGCAATCACACACAGCTATACAAATTGTTTTAGAAGGCCAAGATCATGCAAACTATTCTTTGAGTATTCATAGGTTGTTGTTCATAATTTTTTTTTAAAAAAGCACCTTTGGAAATTTTTCTATTCATAGTGACCCCACTAATACCGTTTTTTTTTTACCACTAATATTGGTTTTTCCTATAGTGGAAGAATGGCAAGTAACCAAACTCAGAAATGTTACGATGGGTGACTGTTGGTCTTAAGCATTAAATAGAACTTTGTTTAGTAAATAAACTGTCTCCAGGTGGAAAGATCCCATGCAGAACCCAGAGAACCTTTGTGCAAGAGAAACCGTCAAATAGCCTATCATGATCCATTCTTCCTTTGTCCTCATGCATGGTCTTCCAGCTTCACTCCATCTCCTGGCCTCCCTTGCATGTGGCCATGTGACTAAGTTTAGGTTAATGGGGTGTGAGTAGAAATGATGGGTGCAACTTGTCATCTCCTTCCAGATGCTTCACCTGGGTTTGAACACACTTTCTGCTGGCTGGCAATGGTGATGCCATGAGCAACTTTGGAAGCACCTGTTACAACCACATTTCCCAGGTGTGATAGAATGACTTTTGTGTCCCCCCCCCACCCCCAGCTTCTTATGTTGAAGCCCAATCCCCGATATAATAGTATTTGAAGGCAGAGATTTGGGGAGGCAAATAGGTCATGAAGGTGGAGCCCTCATGAATGGGATTAATGTCGTCATAAAAGAGACGCCAGAAAGCTCGTTCACCCCCTTCTGCCTTATGAGGACACGGGGAGAAGATAGCCAACTGTGAACTAGGAAGCCAGCCCTCACCAGACAGAAAATCTGTCAGTGCTCTGATCTTGGACTTCCCAGACTCCAGAACTGTGAGAAATAAATGTGTTTATAAGCAAAAAAAAAAAAAAAAAAAAAAAAAAAAAAAATTTTAAAAAAAAAA